AGGAAAAAACCGATCCTATTCCAGAAGAAGGGCAAGTAGACTGGATTGAGGAGTATGACGAGGAGCAGCTGGATTATGAACCATCTGCAGATGACCAGAATGCGCTCCTCGGAACAGAAGAACTAGGAGAATGGACGGAGGAGTATGAGGGAGAACAGATGGATTATGACGGAGAATTGGATGCGGAAACTGAGGCCTTCGGTGCAGAATTGAAGGACTTGTTAAATGCTGACCTAGGCATTAATATGGTGTTCATTCTGCCAGAAAGGTTCTGGGCAGTAGAAGGACAGGAGAGCACCCTGGATGGAGATATATTTTCCCAAGAAAGTTTTGAGTGCAGGTTGGCAGAAGCAGAAGAGGGGCCAGAACAGCAAGCAGACAGTCCCAGGACAGAAGGAACAACCCACAAGTTGGCTACAGATCAGCTTTGCTTCTCCAAACCAACCAAAGAAATGGCAAACCACCTCAGACCCTTGTTTATAACAGCAAACTTTGGAGGTGTTCCTATTCCCAAAACTATGGTAGATGGAGGTGCAGCCATCAACCTTCTGCCTCACAGAATGCTGAGTAAAATGGGCAGAACAGAAAGGGACTTAATTCCAACCCGCCTGACCGTCACCAATTTCGCAGGAGGCATCACCAAAACCCTTGGGATCCTAGATGTGGATGTTGTAGTAGGAAGCAAGAAGCTGAAGGTTGCATTCTTTGTGGTAGAAACTACCTCTACCACTTACAATGCATTACTTGGCAGAGACTGGATTCACCAGAGTCTATGTGTTCCTTCCACTCTTCATCAACAGTTAGCTTTATGGAATGAAGAAGGCTACATGGAGATAATAGAGGCCGATCCACGGCCATTTCTACCTTCTGCCATGTGTTGTGAGGCAAGGTATTATCATGATGACCTTGGTCCTTTCACCTTCTTTGGAGTCAACCAGAACGGCCGCCCCCATGGTGTCACGGCCCAGAGGCTCATTGAAGAAGGTCTAACCAATTCCTTGGAGGATTGGAACAGACCTTTTGTCCTAAATTTCCATAGCACTAATGTCTAGTCCCAAACAACAAAAAAAGGATCGAGCTGCAACAATCCGGTCCATTACAAAAAGATTGTTGATATACTGGGAGGAAAAGAAGTTTTTTGAGCAGAATTCAGCCATCAATATGGCAGAATTCACTCATGAAAGCACGGAAAGCCAGGAGGAAGAAGAACTACAGGAGGAAGTGCTAGATTTTGCCCCAGCCGCACTGGATGACTCTCTGCCAGAGGTAGAAGATCCTTTGCAGGAAATAAACTTAGGAACAGGGGAGGATCCAAGGCCTACCTTTATCAGTGCACTATTGAAAGAGCCACTTAAGAAGGAACTAGTTGCACTTCTGCAAGAGTTCAAAGATTGTTTTGCTTGGCATTATCATGAGATGCCAGGATTAGACAGGGAATTGGTAGAACACAAGCTGCCAATCAAAGAGGGATACCTACCAGTCAAGCAGGCCAGAAGGAGGATGTCCATGGACACAGAACTGAAAGTCAAAGAAGAAATAGAAAGGCTGCTCAAGGCAGGATTCATCAGGCCTGCCATCTATGCTGATTGGCTAGCTAACATTGTACCGGTTCTAAAAAGGAAAACTGGGGCAGTCAGAATCTGCGTGGATTACAGAAACCTAAATGAAGCCTCTCCCAAGGATGAGTACCCTATGCCAATGGCAGACATGCTAGTAGATGGAGCTGCCCACAACCAGATGCTATCTTTTATGGATGGCAACGCAGGTTACAATCAGATCATGATGGCAGAAGAAGATATCCACAAGACAGCCTTCATGTGTCCAGGGCATATAGGTGCTTTTGAATACACTGTAATGCATTTTGGCTTGAGAAATGCAGGGGCTACCTATCAAAGGGCAATGAATTCTGTTTTCCACGATATGATTGGACATTCCCTGGAAGTGTATATTGATGATGTTGTGATTAAATCACCAGAGGAGGGAAGAGAAATCATATCATGACCTATCTACGATATCCAACTTTGCCCTATGAGAAGAGAGTCAGAATCATGGCTTTAAACTACCTTATGTGGAATGAAGATTTGGTCCGAAAGAGCAAGGATGAGGTGCTTTTAAGGTGCCTCGGAAAGGAAGAATACATGAAAGTTATGGGGGAGACCCATGAAGGAATCTGTGGAGCACATCAAGGTGGGAGAAAAATGTGCTGGTTAATTAGGAGATATGGCTACTTCTGGCCAACCATGATGAAAGATTGCATTAACTATTCCAAGGGGTGTGAATCTTGTCAAAGACACGGTCCAGTCCAGCAGGCTCCATCAGTTCCCATGAATCCAGTGGTAAAACCATGGCCCTTTAGAGGATGGGCAATGGATCTCATTGGTAAGATCTATCCAGCCAGCAGCCAGCAGCACTGCTTTATCATTGTTGCCACAGACTATTTCACTAAGTGGGTGGAAGCCAAGGCTGTTAAATCTACTACATCTCAAGAGATCATCACTTTCATAGAAGAGCAGATTATCCAAAGATTTGGCATCCCAGAATCAATCACAACTGATAGAGGATCCTCCTTCATATCCGGAGAAATGCTGGACATGGCAGAGGCATTCAAAATCAGACTGCTCCAATCCACTCCTTATTATGCCCAAGCCAATGGACAGGCAGAATCAAGCAACAAAGTGATCATCAACATTATCAGGAAAATGCTTGAGAAGAATCCGAAACAATGGCATGAGAAGCTGTCAGAAACTCTGTGGGCATATAGAACTAAAAAAAGAGAAGCGACTGGCATGACTCCCTATGCGTTAACCTACGGTCATGATGCAATTCTGCCTATGGAGATAGCTGTTCAGTCCCTCAGAATTGCTCACCAACATGACTTAGAAGGAGGTAGACACTCTCAACAAGCTCCTGGCAGGAAAACAGGCGGTATCAAGGGCCTACAACAAGTCTTCGGAATTGCTCCAACTACTTCTTAGCCTTATTGAAGCAAATTTTGCATAGACAAAATAACAAGTCTCGATCAACACTTAGCAGCAGCAATCAAAAAATTCAGGCAAATACAGATGTAAGGTGGCCAAGGAATGAGAAAATAAGAGGCCTTGTAAGTCAACAATAACGAAAATGGTTCAACTGTCATTGATGTTTCTCCATGAAAGTTTGGAAGAAGAAAAAAAAAAACTAAGAGATTAGCTTTTGGTACCAAATTTCCAACACAGCTAAGTTTTTGAATAGAGAGTTAGGTGCTTTTCCATTCGTGTACGGTTGAACTATATGAAAAAAATCTAATGAAAGTTTAAAGGAAAAAGTCAAGTCTAACCGATCAATACCCTATTTGACTGAGTGATTAGCATATTACGGTAGTACGGCAACGTTATACATCTTGTACATGTGTTATAATATAAGTTGATATTTATTAATACTATCCTAAAATGGGGAAAATAAATCATGTTGGTCACTCATATTATAACAAGTGTACAAGATATACCACGTAGTCATACAACCAGAGTATTCTCTAATTTCTCCTATTTGACGTTCAATAAACCAACCCAATTAATTATGTGACAACACTAATTTACACATAATTGAAAGTCGTACTATAATAAACAAAGACAAGACTCTAGTTTTTAAAGTTTAATAATCTCTACATAAAGAAAAAAAAATCCAACAAAAATTTGTAGCAAGGGACCCACCTCAATGTAGCCAAGTCTTTCCGGATCCAACTCTTCCATGATGAGAGCTGCATATTCCTCTGCTTGTTCCTTCAATCTCGATAGCTTGTTTGCAGAGGCACTCAACATGATAATCTAACCATTCAAAATTTTAAAATAAAGAAATTAAAAATCAAATATAATAAAAAATGTGTAGTTAATAATTTATTTATTTTCCCATCAAACACTGACTTCGTATTAAAAACGACGACCGAATTAGTACCAAAAATAGACTAAAAAGCCCCCACCAACCCCACTGAAAACGATAAGACCATTCCCAAAAATTTGATAAAAAAAGAGGAAATTGAACATGCCATGTGTCCAATATCAACCATCCAAAAAAAAAAATAATAATAATAATATAATAATAACCCAACTAATAATAGAAAAAGATGCCTTGGAACATGGTAAACATCATAAGCAGAGAAAATTGAAAACATTTTAATTCCTTTAAAATGGATTTATTATTGTTAATTGAAGTGTGGTAGTTAGTTTTGGAATTTTCATGTATTTATGGTCACCCAATCCCGCCTACCCTGGGATTATTTTATCCCAAATGACACCCTGTAGACCATGAAATGAAACCACCAAGAAGCTTGTGCGAGACTCTCGTATAATTTGAGACAGCCCAGTTGGGTCGGCGGAGAAGATTTGGGCTAATGGATCATGAGCCATAATTTATATTATTATTTTAATGTGGCTGCTTAAACACGTTCAAAGGTGATTAAAAAAATGGGGTACCTCTTTTACTTCCTCTTCAGTAATTCTACCATCTTCATTCTTGTCCACCCTGTGAGAATCAAAATGCATAGAAAAAACAAGAATTAAGTGAAATGACGGGTTTGCCCTGTTCGTCCAAGTGTTGCCTTCAATGAATATAATATTAAGGTTGAACAAATGATTAATGACTTTAATTAATTGCGTACATGTCGAAGAAGATCTGAAGCCGCGAATCGAAGCTTTGATCGGAAATTTGGGACCAGAACTCGTAAAGCTCGTCCTTGCTGATTTTGTCCACCTTCATTCTCCGTCTCCGGCCCAACGCATCGAACAGCTCCAGAGCAAACTCCTTCGAATCTCTCATTCCTTCAACAACAACAACAAAAAACCAAAGATTTTAATGTACAAAAATAACAAACTGTACGGTCATTTTCTCTAAGTAAATTTATGAATATGTGTTGAATGGTTTTTATGATCTTTGCTGCACTATGGCTAGATTTTGGGAAGTTTTAACAAAATACTCTTTGCCATGGATATTGGTGTGCGATTTGTGTTTATGGTACAACTCTATAATTGTTTGCTAGCTTTATCGCTTTATGGCCTTGTTCAAGTTTTACCCTTCGTTTCCTTACTATGAAGAAAAAGCCTATGCTGCTGAAAGGCTTTTTATATACTTTGTAAGGAAATGAAAAGCTTTATTGATTGTTATATGCTGCTGAAAATCGATGTAGGTCTTCTCTCTTTCTTATTTGACTTTGATTATTTGTTTGGTAGTCTCATGACGATGCTAGAGGTTTTCGATTTAAAGCTATAGAAAATTGGGATGATATAGTAGATTTGTGTGGCAAAGATAGAGCCACTGGAGAGGGCGCTGAAATAGGCGCAGATGCAACTGAGGTTATGACTCCTATAATGAAGTTGATCATGTTGATTTGGATGGTGATACACAAGATTTAGAAGATATTCATGTTATTGATGATATTTCACCAACCTCAACAAATGACCAAAAGAGAAGAAACTGTGCATCAAATTCTTCTGAGATTCTTCCTACAAAGAAAAGAGGTGATGTCAAAGACGTAATTGCTGATTTGATTGCTAGAATGGAATAACTCGGAATTTATCTAAAAGTTGGGAATTTAATAGGAGAAATTGACAATTCCCTTGTTTGGCAACTTAAGCGCGGAATTTATTAAATGACGTGCGGAAAAAATCATAGAAATTGAGACATTAAATTCCCGAGTTTAATTTCCACCAAAGTAGGGGTCATTTCACAATTTCCATAGTGCCGAAATTCATATTTTCCAGTGTGCCAAAACGTACATTAAAAAAAAAAGCCAAACTTTTCATGAAAAAAAAAAGTACACGTCTCTCTGGATCAAATTTGAAGGTTAGTCTTCAAGCCCTTCTCTCCTTCAATTTATGTTTTTCTATTTTAGGGTTACCACGGTTTCTAAATGGCTATCAAAATTGGGTGTTTCTAAATAAATTTATGAATATGTGTTGAATGGTTTTTATGATCTTTGAGGCATTATGGCTGGATTTTGGGAAGTTTTAACAAAATACTCTATGCCCGTGGATATTGGTGTGTGATTTGTGTTTATGGTACAACTTTGTAGTTGTTTGCTAGTTTTATCGCTTTGTGTTATCCTCTTGTTCAAGTTTTACTCTTTGTTTCCTTACTCTGAAGAAAAAGCCTATGTTGCTGAAAGGCTTTTTATATACTTTGTAAGGAAACGAAAAGCTTTATTGATTGTTATATGCTGCTGAAAATCGATTTTGGTCTTCTCTCTTTTTTATTTGACTTTGATTATTTGTTTGGTAGTCTCATTATGATGCTAGATGTTTTCAATTTAAAGTTATAGAAAATTGGGATGATATAGTAGATTTGTATGGCAAAGGTAGAGCCATTGGAGAGGGCATTGAAACATGTGCAGATGCAACTGAGGTTATGACTCCTATAATGTAGTTGATCATGTTGATTTGGATCGTGATACACAAGATTTGGAAGATATTCATGTTATTGATGATATTTCACCAACCTCAACAAATGATCAAAAGAGAAGAAATCGTGCATCAAATTCTTCTGATATTCTTCCTACAAAGAAAAGAGGTACTGTGAAAGACGTTATTGCTGATTCGATTGCTAGAATGGCTTTATCATTTGAAGAGTTTATCCGTGCTGATACTAAGAACCTTGATCCAGCAGAGGTATATGCTGAAGTACAAGCAACACCAGGTCTTAGTGAAAATGAACAACTCAAAGCATGTGCTTGGCTAATAGAAAATGACAAACAATTTTAGATGTTGAAGGCACTCCCAACTGAGAAAAAAAAAAAAAAAAAAAAAAGAGTATGTTGTTGATGTTTATTGCACGTGGGAGTGATTTGGTTTGCTAATATGCTCTGTTTGTTTAAGTTGAGTTATTTAGTTCATCAAACAATATGTTATTTTAGACTTTGAGTTATTTTGTTCTTTCGAAATATTTAATTTCTGTCATTTACAATTTACATGAGCTATCCAAACATTGAAAATTTCAATTTCTGTCATTTACAAAATTCGACATACATAAATCCAAACACTGAAATCTTCAATTACCAGAAATTGAAATGACGAAAATCTAAATTCTGTCATTTTAGAATTCTATGTAATTTGCAATTCCTTCATCCAAATGGAACGTAAATGACTACAAAGGATATATTGAATTGTGAAACAAATGTAATTTTAATAAGTACACCTTACTCACCATATTAAACCCTTAAATCTTGCAAGCTTGTGGGTGACATGAATGAGGAGAATTGCATCTGATGCCCAAAAGAGTGTTAATGGGCAGAACTTTGCAGTTTCATTTCAACCCCTGAACTTTACCTTGATGCCTTATGTAGTGGAAATCACATTGAGCAATTGTAGTATGACATGTCGTTTACCTTCTTCAGTGGAAATTAGTTTCATGCTTGAACTTTGCAACCATGGAGCTGGGTACAAAGGGATGTGTAAGAGGATTTGGAGAGTAAGGGATTGGGTAGGTTTATTTTAATTTTTTTTTTAGTCACTGAATTTAGACCCGATTTGCATTTGAGTACCTCAATTTCCAAAATGGTTCCCATGGTCCTTTAAGTTTAGTTTCATTAGGACAATTGATCATGCTGTCAATTTTGTTAACTTTTCTGTTAAATGCATGGGCAAAATGGAATATTTATATTAAAACTGAAAAAATGAATAAAAAATCATATCTTTAAAATAACAATAAAATTTTAACTAAGGGAAAATTGTAAAGAGAATTGGAAAGTAGAGAAAGACAATAGAATTTGTGTCAATCAACTTATATATCTCATCTTGATAAAACCTCTTATTTATAAGCTTACAATGATATGAACACATTAACAACTCATAAATTACAAGCTTGTAGCGATGATATTTAGCTCATAGGTTACATAGAATTAGAAATGGTGAGTGCTATGAGGTATGATGGTCATCCACCAACTTATGCATTTACAACACTCTCTCTTGGATGTCCACCATACAATGACATAGTTGCCTCATTAAACATCTTGCTCAAAAAACTCAGTGGGACAAAACCTAAGTGAAGGGAAAAAGAGTACACCATTCTTCTGGATCGTTGATATGATGTTGGACGCTACCTCGTTAAAACCTTGCTAAGAAAACCCCGGTGCGACAAAAACCTAGTAGAATAGAAAAGAGTATAGTGCACATATGTCCTATATGTAGAAAAATTGGGTCTGCATCCATTTTAGTCGGATCCAATTGGTGGAGCCAAGCAAGACATAATCCAAGCCCACCTACACCTTTTGCACATGAGTTTAAATCTCGTCCTCATACATTAGAATAGTTTATAATATGGCTATTAAGATAAAGAAAAAAAGGTTTGCACACCGTAAAGAGCAAAGTTGATAGTCAAATGAAGACGTAGCTCAAATCCATTATTTAAATAAACTTCAAAAGTTTGTTAAGCAAAAACAAAAAAAGAATAATGTGCATACCACATTAAAAAAAAAAACATAATAACTTAATAATTGTTATATATATTCAGTGATGGACCCATGAATCTTACCTCATAGGATCATAGAGTTTCAAATTTTTTTTAAAAAGATTAAAATAACATTGAAAATGAAACAATAGTACATTTATTCATAATTCATGTCAAAAACAACATTACAAGTTATAATTGTTCACGATAAGGTTTCATATTTGAAAACGTAGTGTTTTCAATACAAGCAAAAATATCATTCTCAAAGTAAACAAGCAAGTTATCAAACTCAAAAGATAAATGGCCTCCATATAAAACCACAAACAAGAGCATATTATGAGATGGATGAGAGCAGCTCCCGAACTCAAAAGACAAGGAAACAAGAGACCTCTAGCTTCTCCTACTACTAGCAACACAAATCACATAAATAATTTTTTCATGGTCCTTGGAAGAGGAGGCCATTGACAGTGAACCCTCCATCAACGCAGATAGTTTGGCCAGTTATGTAAGACGCTGCAGGGAAGCATAGAAATGCCACCAAGGCAGACACCTCTTTTGGCTCTCCAATCCGTCCTAAAGGGCATCGAGAGTTGATAGCCTCCATAAATTTTTGGTCACTCAAAAGCTGCAAGTAAAGAAGAGACCATAGAGAAGATGAATGCACACATTACGTGTGGGGAAAGTTCGAGTTTAAATGTACAGTTACTGATTAATAGTTTAACAACATAACATAACATGTTAGAAAATTTTAAAAACACAATCGTATGGAAATTTTTGAAGGGATCTTACAGGCTCAGTGAGGGGAGTTCTGATGAACCAAGGTGCAACACTATTGGTCCTTATGTTGTCTTTTGCCCACTCACATGCTAAGTTTTTTGCCAACTGGTTCATTGCTCCTGCAATAGAGTGCAGAGAAGAGTCACAATCTTCAACTTGCAGAAAACAATTATTATTCTTTTTTATTTTTAAAATGCAAAAACTATGTGCAAAGGAAAAGACCTTTTGTGGCAGCATATATAGTAGCCGTCCCAACTGATACAACGCCAGCAACAGAAGACATAAAAATAATGTTCCCAGCTCCTGAAGCTTTCAAAAGAGGATGTGCAAGTTGGGAAAAATGGTAAGCAGATTCAAGATTCGTACTCATAATAAATGAGTAATCTTCAGTTGTGCTCTCGATTGCTGGTTTTATTTTGAAGGTTCCCACGTTGTTTATCTACAGCCAAAGTCCAAGAGTAGTTTAAACATAAAATGAAGGTTTTATATTCATAATTGGGAAACAAATACCACCCTTATTTAATTGGGCCGGACTTGTAACGTGTTAAGGCCGATCCGGTCCATTTAACACCTCTACTTCCAATATTAGAAAGACAAATAACACTAAATAATGATTTAGCTAGTGCAGTTACATACATATAATTACTTCATATCCCTGGAAATTTTTCACCGCCAATATATTTTGACCATGCCATAAATTATACAAAAATGCAAGGCTCAATCAGTTTAATGGATAAATGGAGCACACTTACAAGGATGTTAAGTTTGCCGTGAAATAGTGATGAGACCTTGTTTATAAGCTCCTCTCGTTGAGCTTTTGAGACCACATCACATACCGAACCAGTGACTTGATCAAAACCCTTAATTTTCCATTGGCTCAAGCAGTCGTTAAGCTGAACTTCATTACGAGAACATGTATGTACAGTTGCACCTAGCCCCGCCAATTCCTCCACAATAGCATACCTAAAAACAACACATTTATATGTAGTACTACGTACACTAAACTAATTACTATAAGCATTTGTTTCACAATACAAGTTTAGCGAGAAAATATAATACCCTACTACACTCTCTTATACGTATGTGTGTGTGTGTATATATATATGTATAAATATATGCATGATATTACAAGTTTTTGTTTTTTGATGAGGAAGCACTTATCAGAGTGAATCTTTTGGTCTCGAAAAAAAGAAAAGAAACACTTTCAGATTGCAAGCATAAGACCATCTCCAACCCTTGGGTTGGAAACTCAAATTTTGAGTTTAGCCTCCAAAAACCATCTCCAACCCATGTATTTTGGGATGTGAAAATTTGAGATGCCTCAAAATTGAACTGGAATTCCACCCAGAATTCTGCCTGGACTGATAAATCTGTGGGGCCCAATTCTGCTTTAATAATTTTTTTTTTATTGCATGATGTGAGAAGCCCATCACGTGGGCTGTGTTGCTGGCAAGTGGGAATGAAGATTCCCTCTAGTTTATTGAAAAGCAACGGCTATTTTTGGTATGTTTTGTTATGCTTTTTTTTTTGTTGGAAATATTCCAACATATTGGATCATCAACGATTCAGATTCATTTTAGGCAATCTCAACAGTAAAATTTCACATCCAACGGCTCAAATTTAAATCCAACGGTCAAATTAATATTTATAATTAATCTAAGTCAGATCTAACCCCAAAATTTATTCTAAACTCTATAAATAGCCATTCATTTGGTAAATAATCCACCAAAAATCATTTTTTTCCTTTCTCCCTTTGTTATAATTTTTCATTCTACATTCCGGGCATACGTATGGTGTTGTACTTGTTTTTATTTTTAAGTGAAATCTATTATGTTTTGGAATTTTAATTTTTTTAGGTTAAAATGTTTAGAAAATTAAATCACGAGTATTGAAACAAAAATAATGTCAAGAAAAATTAACAAGAAAAAAAAATAGGGGTTAATCATTCTTAAACAATATAATAAAATTGCGGACTCAAATTATGAGTCTGCAAGGTTGGAGAAAAAAAAATTTGAGTCTTGAAAATACATAAATAGTTATATTTTAGATGGTAGAAATTTGAGTTTAGCCCCAACATAGTTGGAGATGGTCTAAAGGAAGAAAGCGCTAACCCAATTCCTTTGGTTCCACCAGTGACAAGAGCAGTCATTCCGTGAAGTGACCATCTACTATCTTTGCCAATGCTATTTGCCTGCGCCATCTATTGAGGCTGCTACTGATATTTCAAATTGGTTATATATATATATATATATATAGAATATTGAAGATATATATAGTAGAAACTAGAGGAGACTTGTTAGTCTTGCACTGCTTTATACTTATTTATAGGTCTAAAGAAGCACAACGCTTCTCTTGTACACGTCAAACCTATCAGTCACGCGCTCAGATATTTGTGCAAAGTTGTGTCGTATGGTTGGAATTTGATCAAGCCTAGCAGCCACACACTCCGATATTTGTGACAAGTTGCGTGTCGTCACGCGTATGATTGGAATTTGATCCAGCCTAGCAGTCAAATGAATACAAAACAAAAGCAATTTTTTTTATATAAATAGAATCTTTCCTATTAAAGGTCAGTTTGGGATTGCCTCATTTAAAGAAAAAAAGTTCTTTTTTATCACAAATGGTCTTCACGTTTACGAAATTATCACGAATAATCATTGAGTTTTTTTTGTGACATTAATAATCCTTAACGTTTGGACTTTTTATCACAAATAGTCCCTACTGTTATAAATTTTGTTAAGTATAATAAATGGAACTCACATGTCCAATCACATTGTGACATGTGGATTAAATAAATAAATAAATAAATATTTTTTTTTAATGAAAATCCATTAAAAAACCATTTAGCCTCTCCTCTGCCCTCTCTCCTCCCTGTGCTTTCCCTCTCCCTCTGTTTTTTTGTTGCCTCTACAACCCAACCACCCCATGCCCACCCGCTTCACTCGAGCTATTAGGTTTTGGTCTGCAGCATTCTTATGTTGTGTGGGAAGCGCCGAGACCCCCGTCACCAGAGGAAATGAGAGAGATGGCGCGAGAACTAGCTAGGAAAAAAATGCCCGTCGATGCTTTGTTTGGGGTTCTTTTCTTTTGTAACTTGTAAGTGCCTGCTATAGAGAAAACAAAAAAAATGCTGTGTTTTGCGTTTAGATTTCAGTCGAAATAATGGTGAGGCCAAGTGGGTTTTATTTCAAGTTCAAGTGTGGCCTTGTAATGTTCCAAAATCCTACTTAAATTTTCAAATCCACTTTGCCCATTTCATGCTGTCTGTGGAGGACGAAGGAGCTTTTGTGACTCAGGATGTAAATTATATGTTGTGATAAACCATGGATGGATTTGAAAGTGACCAAACATCTACAATATTCCTCATGTACTATTGAACCTTCATTTCGTGTTCTTTGTGGAGCTGGAATCTACTTGAAAGTGAGTTCTTTTGGTTTGCTTTTCTGGGTTGTGCTTCAGTGAAGCTGGAAGGTTGAATATCTGGAAGGTTTAATAAAAAAACAGAGGAGAGCAAAGGAGGAGAGCAAAAACAAAGGGAGATGGTAGGGGAGTTGGGCATGGGTTGCGGGTTGCGAGAAGAGACGGAGAGCAACTATATATCTTATATATTTTCTTGCAGGTGGCAGGGGGGAAAAAAAACAGAGGGAGAAGAGATGGAAAGCAAAGGGTGGAGAGCAAGGGCAGAGGAGGAGAGAGACGGAGCAAGGAAGGAGATGAAAAGTTGCAGAAAAATAAATGGAATTTTCATTAAAAATTTATTTAATTATTTTTTATCCACATGTCGCAATGTGATTGGACATGTAGACTCCACTTATCTTCCACATCACACTTAACAGAATTTATAATGGTAAGGACCATTTGTGGTAAAAAGCCCAAACGTTAAGGACTATTAGTGTCACAAAAAAACTCAAGGACCATTCGTGATAATTTCGTAAACGTGAAGGACAATTTGTGATAAAAAGCAAAAAAAAAAATTGTTTTTGCTGTTATTTGAAAATAATTAGCTATAAAGTAAAGCATCTCTCAGCAATGTCAAAATCGTTTGCTTTGAAAATAATTAGCAATAAAGTAAAGATGCTCATCTCTGCTTCTTTTAAAAGCAGTTTTGAAAAGCAACATAGAGTCTGCTTTAAAAACCGTTATTAAAAGGTCACTGCTTTTAAAATAATCGGGATATTTTATTTTTAACAAACACTTTAAACTGATTAACTTTAAAGTGAAACAGATTTTTGGCCAAAAAAAGCAATCCCAAACCCTAAGAGGGGCGATAATATACTAAACTTACATTTACTATACAAATGTTAGGACTCGAACTCAAAATCTTACCTAAGTGAGCAATTACTACAAACTACTACACTAGTAAGTCTTTTCAAAATAAAAACAATAATAAAGGAAAAGAAAGTTGTGCAAAAACAGAGGAACCATTTGTGTACTAGATCTCTGAGTTCTATTTCTATTCAAATTTCTCACTTTACCCGTTTTGCACACTTGCACTTTTATAGAGACTTGCTCTGTTACACAAAACACTACCAGAACATGGTTCTCTCTCAGCACCAACTCCACTTCGATAGAGCAGGAAGCTGACATTTTTCATTTCTCTAACTAGTGTGTTACACTACCATGTATGCGAGTCTTGACAAAAGAAAGAAAAGGCAAAAAACTATGTATACGAATACTGCTAGATAGATCACATTTATATACCATTTCTCTAAGAGAATCTTATCTCATCTTTATCAACAGACGAGTTATGGGTCTGTTATTGGGCCACAGGAAACTCTGGCGCTGAGTAACATTTGTTGAATAATGGATGCTCCAATCTACTTGATTGTCCAACCAATTATTTATATATTTAAGCGATAAGATTTAGTTTTTCTAAATCAAATGGCCTCCTCTGACGGATGGTAATAATGGCTGGCCTTTACTGTGCAGCCATCACCATCCATTGTCAATTGGAAAGGGACCTCACAGCAGCAAATGGGATTTGGAAATTGGGCTGTGAAATTGCATCTCACGGGATAGCACTGTTTTATTACCTTCTATCAATGAGAGTTTTTTGGTTTACTATTTTAACCAAGATGTAGCTTCAACACTCTTCTAAAAACTTGACACATATCCAGGATATAACTATGGTTAATTATTTACTTTAATGTATTCAAAATCAAAAAATTTAATAAAATAAAAACTGAAAAAAATCCCTCTCCTCTCTCTCCTTTCCCGACCCAACCCCACCCCGGACTCCATGTTCTCTACAGCCACCACCCACCCAACACGATGAATCTTTCTTAAACCTGTCGTAAGTGTTTTTGTAAGACATCACCTCAAATCCCCTACAATAATATACACTAGCACTACTCTTGAGTTGAAATTCATTAATAAAGTTGAGACTCTTGAAAATAAGATCTCAATGAAAGCAAGTTTTGGGAAAATCCCAGCCTCCAGTAAGAAACGAGTAAAAGAAGCAGTGCTAAAAGGAGACTTTACAAATTTCAAGCACTTCAACGGCTAAAATCTAAATGAGATTCCATACTGAAGCCGGAAAGGCGACGAATGGAGGTGAACATGAAGCCACAACGTCTGACGGCGACACTAGGGTTAGGGTTTTTGGGGACCGAGAGATCATAGACGACTTGTTGCGTTATAGCCACGACGGTGGCGACACCTGCAAATGGTGGATCGGGTTGCTGAGGGGGTAGCTGTAGAGAATAGGGAGTCTGGGGTGGGCTGGGGTGGGATTGGGTCGGGGAAGGAGAGAGAGAAGGAGAGAGATGTTTATTTAGTTTTTATTTTATTTTATTTTTTGTTTTTGAATACTTTAAAAGATTTAAAAGTAAATAATTAATCATAATTATACCATTGACGTGTGTCAAGCTTTAAAAACGGTAATCAGAGTATATCTTGAATTAAAGTAGTGAGTAAAAATACTCCCCCAATCAATCATATTCTGGTATTATTCCACGTGACGGCACGACATGACATGCAAGTTTTTCTCTGGAAATTAATGTCTTGGGGCCACAAAGAAGAAACAAATAAATTATTGGGAAGAAAATCATGTCTAGATAACGTGAGAAAAATATTGACTTCCTATATAATAGGATTTCAACAAAAGACAATAATAATTCTTAACACGGAAAGCACTTTGAACAGAGTAGCAATAGTGCCTCCCACTAGAAATTGGGAAAGTGACATCAATTTGTGCTCAACTTTAATTGCAATCATTATCCTTGGAAGAGGAACCCATTGACGGTCATACTCCCGTCAGTGCTAATAGTCTGCCCAGTTATGTAAGAAGCTGCAGGGAGGCATAGAAATGACACCATGACTGCCACCTCTTATGGCTCTCTCGGCCGTCCTAACGGGGTTCGAGAGTTGACAGCATTCAAAAATTGTTCATTACTCAGAAACTGCATATATAAAGTAGAGAGAATGATAAGTTTTATGTACCTCTACACATACGCATGTACGTCATTAAAAAAACCTTAAAGTCTAGAGTAGACTCAAATTTGAATATATAATATATCAATACACCTGAAAACTCGAAAACTAAGAATCCTACATCTGCAAAATGGGATGTTCAAATGAACCAAGGTGCAACGTTATTGACCCTTATGTTATCTTTGCCCCACTCACAAGCAAATGATCTTGCCAATTGGTTTTCTGCACCTAAAACATAATTACCAAAAGAACAGTCACAACCTTCACTTCATATACATAATTAACACAAAATTTGAATGGAAAGTTCAAAAATATCATTTGAAAAATAATAATAATAGTAATAAGGTAAGGGTGTCAAATTGATACATAATAATAGTAATAAGGTAAGGGGTTCCAATCCCTGCAACTGAGACCAATCCAGCAACAGAAGAGATAAAAACAATGTTACCAGCTCCTGAAGCTTTCAAAAGAGGATGTGCGAGTTGGGACAAATGGTAAAAGGATTCAAGATTGGTACTCGTTGTTGGAATTTTAAAAGGTTTTAAAAATTTAACCATTTTATTTAATTATTTTGGCTGTTTTATTTTATTTATTGTGGGGGTTATAAATATTTAATATTTTGATTTTATTTCTGGTTGGTGAATGCCTTAATTTTTTGGTTGGTGAATGTTACATATTTTTGGATGCCTATAAAAGGCCACTCCTCCTTCATATTTGAAAAAAAGACACACAATACATTATCAGAATATCACATACAAATTCTAATTCTCTCATTTTCTACTTTTACATATATTCTCTACTTTATATTATTATTATTTTGGGCAATGGTTATGTAACTT